TGTTCACATTACAGATATCCTCACACACTATAAGGCACCAACTATCATGTCACATTTATCTACCAAGTGCATATTCACATTGTAGTCTGCAACACAATCAGGTTTATACATCTCTCCCAGTATTTCAAACTTCACTTTCCAACTGTCCACTAATGCACCTGTGTGAATAGTTATCAACGTATTCACCTCACGTCTGTCCTTCCAATGCACTAATAACATCTTGTTGCATTCCCTTAGCTGACAAGTGCTCACTGCAATACCAGTACAGTACTGAACACCGACATTTGCCTCCTGTGTGGCTTTACAGTACTACAGATGCCAGTCTTATGTTCAAACAGGAACATAGTTAGCAGGGAGCTGGTATAATAACTCATGTACAGGATATGCCCCTCATTGAGCAGTGGTTCCATAAGTGTGTTTACAACACTCAAAGAAAACCTGTGTGGATATTGATCGAGACAGTCTGTGTCGGTACCCAAATATAATATCATATCAATCACTATTCCTGTTTCACACTCACTTATCACAAAAAATTTCAGTCCAAACTAGTGTTGCTTTGATTCGATATACTGCCTGGATGCAATCCACCCCTTAAAGAGAACTAGCGATTTGTCAATCACCACATTCTTTCCTGGTACAAAATAATCACAAGTCACTTCCCTCTCACATTGCTGAAAATTTTCCTCACTTTCCACAGTCTATCGTTTCTACTGACATTATCAATTTTGTCAAAGTGAAGGCACCTGAGAATTAGCAGAACCTATCACATGACATGTACTTGTTGAACACTGGGGTTGGAGCAATGCTGTCTTTGTGTCTTCCTTATCAAGCCTTTAAATAACCTAACAATATTATCTTATGTTATACCTGAAATGCAATGAGTATTAGTGGCTTTATGCATTGTGCTTGTCTTACCTATGTATCTTTCTCTCTTCATGTATCATATGTATGTACATTTGTGTCAACAATTATTATTATTATTATTATTATTATTATTATTATTATTTAGGATAAAAACCTACATTTGTGTATTTGGGAAATTTATGTAAAGAATTTACACCAAGTTTTTCGCACTCTCACAACTGCTTTGTCAAGTTCTGAGTATGTGATTAGGACGAGACTTACATCTTAACGTCTAATGAAGCTGCTATTCTGGGTCCAATCCTCTAATCCATTTTGACCTCCTGACAATGTCATCTCTATTTCCAACTGCTGATATACCTGCTGTAATGTCTTCTATGGAATTATAGTCACGAGTCCTTTATGTAATCCTGCTATTCTGAGAACTGGAGTTGTTATTAATAGAGGTGTTCATGTGGATACTATTCCTCATAACCCTCTCCATACCTAAAGGAATGCGGCTAATGAGACTGCTTTCATTCATCCATTTATTGTGATGTAATTTTAATTCACTCAATCATTTTCCTAATAAATATAACGTGTTCAGAAATTTAAAAGTTTTAATGAAATCCGCCCTGTCATGCCTGGTTTGTAGTGCTGTTAGCCCTGTGGCCTTTGAGTGTTCCTAATACGATAGTTGACTAAACTCTCAAATGACTTTTGTTGGCCAGTGTTGCACCTTCTCCAGAGCAGCTATGTCCTTCTGAAAATGAAGTCTCCATGCTTGGATACAGTAATCCAAATGGGAGTGCACCAGAAATTTATACAGGTGAACCATTACCTTCTTTTCTTTATAGTCAAAAGTACACAATCTTCTACTCTATTCTTACAAACCCTTTCTCTAATTGTATTTGGGTAATTGAAAACTATTTTGTCTTGTATCTACTACATTCAGAGTCAGTTTACTTAAGAGGGTTATATGGCAATTTAAATCTATTTTCTTATCAGGATTCCAAGGGTGTCTTTCAATTATAGTGTAAAGAATGCCTTTAGCTTTACTGTGAGCTTTTTCATTAAACCATGAGGGCTAACCTAAATCCAAGGAACTCTTATACAGTATAAGAATATACTACTACTATATTTAAATATGTGTAGTAGTAGGAGATGATAGAAATCTGGGAGGGAGTTTATAAATACTTGTAGAGATTGTAATGAAGTCTATGTGGGGGAAACAGGGAGAAAACTTAAGATCTGAACTGAAGATATTAAGAAATCATGTAGAATCATGGCTGGTAACAGTGCTATAGCAAGCCATAGTCGGAAAAAGGATCACAATATTGATTTTCATTAGTGTGAAATAATTTATAAAAGTAATAATATTAGAACGAGAAGGGTAGTGGAAGGGGTTCCAGTAAATACTCTAAATACTTTTGGTGGCAACAAAAGCTTTACCTAGGAGAATATCTTTACTAAGAAGTTATCTTGAGGTTATCTTGAAGTTATCTTGGGATGATTTCGGGGCTTTAGTGTCCCCGCGGTCCGGTCCTCGACCAGGCCTCCACCCCCAGGAAGCAGCCCGTGACAGTTGACTAACACCCAGGTACCTATTTTACTGCTAAGTAACAGGGGCATAGGGTGAAAGAAACTCTACCCATTGTTTCTCGCCAGCGCCTGGGATCGAACCCGGAACCACAGGATCACAAGTCCAGCGTGCTGTCCACTCGGCCGACCGGCTCCCCAAGAAAATGATTCTGCATGAATTAAAATTTGATCTCAATAAATGGATGAATGAAAGCAGTCCCATTAGCTGTGTTCCTTTGGCTATGGAGAGGGTTACGAGAAATAGCATCCAGACGAACACCTCTATTAATTACAACTCCAGTTCTCAGAGTAGTAGGATTACACAAAGGACACGTGACCATTATTCAACAGAAGACAGTACTGCAGGTACATCTGCAGTCAGAAATAGAGGTGACATTGTCAGGAGTTTAAGTAGGATAAGAGGATTGGACCCAGAATAGCAGCCTCATTACACGTTGAGATGTAAGTCTCATCCTAATCACATACTCCCACCGTGACAAAGCACTTGTGAGAGTGCGAAAGACTTGGTGTAAATTCCTTACATAAATTTCACAAATATACATGTGGGTTTTTATTCTGTTAGGCCTGTGAGAAGACATTACCATTAATTATTATTATTATTATTATTATTATTATTATTATTATTATTATGATATAGCTCGTTTTTTTTAAGTTTCGAACTCGAGCTCAATATTAGGAGGAACAGTTGGTGCCTTGGGAAAGCCACTGTTCATATTGAAAAGAAAATTCTTTGGCTCATTTTCATTTTGTGTTTTACATGGAAAATATAAAAAAATTGTTGATAAACAGCCAAAAATGATTAAGAATGTCAGATTAATGTTTGAAGAAAATTTGGATTAGGCCAGAACAAAATTTTCCAGATTTTGGAGGTTGCAGTGTACATTATTAAGTTAGAATAGCATAAATTAAAGCTTACATATTGATTCTTTTATATTTGAATTTGATTTACAGTGCCCATAAAAGATTCCCCATAAAAGTATGGATACTGGTTTCTTATTTTCTGGTTTGGTTTCCTCAGTAGCTTTCTAGAGCTTTAGCGCTGATAACCCTAAAACTTCAGATTGTACCAGGCTCCTAAGATTTACACAGGCCCACTGGAGGCCAGGATCAGAATCTGCTTATCCAAGCAAGGTGAGGAAAACCAACCAGAAATAAGGAAAATAGTAGAGACGATTGCTGGCAATGGGTTAATGATTCAAGATCCAACTTGCTTCTAGGTTGCAGCCCAGGTCACCTATAACACCAGTCTGCCGCTCACTTCTTTCACACGTCTAGGATTCTTAGCTGCTTCGTGATGCTAAATGATGTTGGTTTTTCCTTGAATATTTGTTCCATGTGAAGGCTGTTTCTTTTTCTTCTTCATGACTGTGTTTATACCAATCACACCGTGTGTTCTGTGGCTATTATATTATTCTAACTTTGGTCCAGGGTTCATATTTCCCCGTGCCACACCAGAGTTATCTTCTCTGGTGGAGGAATTTGGATTTCTCCTTTGACTGCTGGTGCCTTACACACACAACAGGTTTACTCTCTCTAGTCATATTAAGTGATTCTTACTATCCATTGTTTCCTATACCTTCTGTCATTGTCTTATTATCATGACTAGTTATGCAATTAGCCTACAACTTTTTCTCTGCATCAGGCATATCTCTCATTGTTTAACACCCATCCAGCCAGTTCTCATGCATCTGCATGTTTGTTTACATCATTTTCTCTCTTGATTGGGTCATGATTCATCTCCCACTTAATCTAAGCCAGACTGTTGCTTGCAACATTTTAGGATGTGTTCCTGTGTTTTGGGATGCCAATGATCATTCCTGTTGCCTCTGTCATTCCTCCTACTGGGCTCATGAGTTTAAATAATTCATTGTGTCGGGGGACGGGAAGCCAGAGTGTATTCATACACGTTAGGCTTTTATCGAGGTCATCCCCCTCCCCCAGGGTCGAATTACTGACCCTGCCCAGGATGCAACCCCACAACAAGCTGACTAACTCCTGAGTACCTACTTGCTGCTAGGTAAACAGATGCATTAGGTGAAAGGAAATGTACCCAACCATTTCTGTCCTACCCAGGATTCAAACCCGGAAGTGTCGATTGTGCGCCAAGAACGAACCCGACTGTACTACCGGGATCCTTTGGCAGTACTTATGTTCTGGTCAAGCTGCTTTCTCATTGGCAGCCTCCTTGCAAGATTGAAGGATCATACCTTTTTGATACAGGCTTTTGCAGCCATCAACATTGGAGGTAGGTGATGCTTCTCTTCAAAGAGGAAGATTTTAACAATTTGTTCCTGACAATGTATTCTTAGTACAGTACAAGCTTTTCCTTCTGATCCTGATGTTTTTGGGTCAGTTTCTAATCCCCATGCTTTCCTTGCCTCATTGGGCAAAGCAGGTTCTGATCCTGATTGCTGGTCAGTCTGTCTAAGTCTCAAGAGTCTGTTGTGGTCTGAAAGCTTTGAGTATGAGCAATTAAGCTCTGGGGAAATACTGAGGCGTCAACCAGAAGAGAGCATTTCATTACATTCAACGCTTGATTTTTTATTTCATGATTTCAGCTACAATGATGTGAAAGCTGAGCTGTCTCAAGAGGAAATTGCAGATGAATGTCAGTCTGAAGTTGAAAGTCACCAACCTGAGGGTAGCATAGTTTTTGACAACATTGGAGGTTCTGGTGCGGGCCCATCAGGGCTCTCAGTTATGGTGGAAGATCTTGTACAACAGCTGCCAGACAAAAAGCCTGTTATACAGCCAAGTAGAACATCCCCAGCTGGCCCTTCACATCTCCAGGCACAACACCTTCAACAACTTCCACAACAAATGCAACAAACTCAACAACACACTGAACAGCAGACACAACAGCAACAACAACATTCAATTCAGCAACAGCAGCAGTTACCACAACAGCAAACTATTCAGCAACAACAGCAGCAGCAGCTACAGCTTCAGGAACAACAACTCCAACAACAAGAGGAGCATCAGAACCAGCAACAGCTGCATCAACAGCAGCAGCAGCAGCAGCAGCAGCTGCCACCACATAAACAGCCACAATCACAAAATCTTTATTTACATCATTGCATAACAGTTCAATCACAATCCTCTCAACTACCCCCTCCTCTATCCCAACCACCATCAGCGTCCCACTCACCAAATACCACAACTACTCAGCAAGTTCGACAACAACAACAACCACCACCACCACCACCCCAGCAAATAGTTGGACTTCCAGAAGGAGCAGTAGTTGAGATGCAGGACACTGAGACTGTGGCACAGCAGTCTATGGCTGCAGTGTCTCCTAGTAGTCAACACTCCGTGTACCTGTCTCCACAGACTCCACAACATCTCACATCAAGAGGAGAACCACCGCCTTGGCCTTCTAAAGCTCGATCAGGTATGTCCAAGTGACTTATCTCTTCTACTCTGTAGAATCATCTTAAGTGATTTAATTTATTTACCGTTGTCTAAGACAAGAAGCCTGTTAGGCTTAACAGGGCACCCCTAGGCTAGTGACTGCTCTTCTCAAAGTTAAAACCCACAACAGCTGCCGTACTCCTATTACTGCTAGGTGAACCAAGGCATCAAGTGAAATGTAATGAAACACCTCTTTCGGGTGGGTTTCCTCTGTATTTACTATTTATGTCTGCAAGATCGAGCTATTAGCTCTTAGACCCTGTCTTTCTAACCAATCTATTTTTCCTCTATTATATCTAATACATATATTTCTCTCTAACACACTGACACCAGCAGTTGTATGGTGCCCATATCTTAAGAAGCACATCAACAAACTGGAAAAGGTGCAAAGACATGCTACTAAGTGGCTCCCTGAACTGAAGAGCAAGAGCTACAAGGTCGAGGAGAGGTTAGAGGCATTAACCCTAGAGGCATTAAATTAAATGCCTAGAGGTTAGAGGCATTAATTGTACAAGAATGTAACAACTCTTGTATATATCTCAAAAAAAAAAAAAAAAACTAAGCTGCTCTGGGCTATTTGGCCTTCAACACCCACAGGCACAAAAAAAAAATAGTTTTTTTTTTAATTGTTAATTTGTGTTCCCTGACCACGAGTTGGTTTATGACCTTACACACAAAAATCACAATAGGGTTATGCATCAAATGAACAAATTCACAAGGGCCGTGATGAGGATTCGAACCTATGTCCGAGAGCATTCCAGATGCTGCCTTAATCGACTGAGCTACGACATGGTCAAAAGAGTTGAAACCCGAAGTTCTACTGAACTTGGATCCTGCAGCCTGTCCAAGACACAAACCAGGGGTTTTACACTACTCCCTCATGCACTCAAGCTATGTCAATAGGCAGGCTCTACCTCTTCGCCCTTACTTCATTATACATTATTATTATCTTTTGACCATGTCGTAGCTCATTCGATTAAGGCAGCGTCTGGGATGCTCTCGGACGTAGGTTCGAATCCTCGTCACAGCCCTTGTGGCTTTGTTGGTTTATGACATGTTTTCACCAGATACATATTGAAACTGGCACGTTCCGGTTCATCCGGAGTTCAGGGACTGGCTCGGTTTTGTTGTGGGGCGTCAAGGTTACCGCTTTCGTTGTCTTCCCTTCGGGTTGAATCTGGGGCCACGCGTTTTCACATGCCTCACTCAGGTCGTGGTGGCCCGCCTGCGTCTGCTAGGTGTTCGGGTGTTGGCCTATCTCGACGACTGGCTGGTTTGGGCTCCCAGCCAGTCCGCGTGTCTGCTCACCAGGGATTTGGTTCTTTCCCAGCTCACCAGGTTCGGGTTTTTGGTGAACTGGAGGAAGTCCCATCTGGTTCCATCTCAGGTTCGGTCTTGGCTAGGTCTCGTTTGGGACGCTCGTGCTGCTTCCTTGTCTCTTCCTCCGGCGGCTCTCTTGCACCTGCGGTCCCGCCTTCGCCCGTTTCTGAGGGGTTCCCGGGTCACAAGGTGGTTGCTCGAGAGTTTGTGCGGGAGCCTGAACTTTGCCATGATGGTCTACCCGGCAAGTTGGGTGTGGCTTCGTCGGCTGTTCAGGTTCCTTCAGGGCCGGCCCTTCCGTCTCTCTCGCGATCGTTGGGTTCGACCTCCGGGGGCTTTGCATCGGTTGCTGCGTCGCCGGCTTCCTCTTCGGGTTTTTCAGGGTTCGGTGCCTTGGCGCCTTCCCGTGCCCTCGCTTGATGTGTACACGGACGAATCTTCTCTTGGCCAGGGTTTTGTGACCAGTGCTCACCAGGCCGGCCAGGGGCGGTGGGTTCCGTCTTTCCCTCAGGCTCACAGCACGGTGCGGGAGTTCGCGGCAGTGTGGATGTCACTCCAGAGGATTCGAGTCGCTCGCGGATCGATGATCCGGCTCCATTCGGACTGCTCTCCGGTGGTTCATTGTTTGAACCGAGGGGGTTCGATGCGATCCTTGGCTCTTTGGGGCTGGTCGCTTCGGGTGACTCGTCTGCTGAGTTCTCGGGGTTTGGCTCTCCTGGCGGTTCATGCCCGGGGGGTGTCCAACGTCCTGGCGAACGGCCTGTCTCTCGGTTCTGTCCCCTGTCCTCGGAGTGGACAGTCGATGCCAACTCTTTCCGTTGGCTGTGCCGGATGTTCGGGACTCCGGACGTGGATCTCTTCACGTCGGCGTGGTCGAGGCGTCTCCCGGTTTATGTGGCGCCCTTTCCCGACTGCGAAGCCGTCGGGGTCGACGCCTTCAGGCTGGACTGGGCGAGGTGGGGTTACCTGTACCTCTTTTCCCTGGTTCCGCTGTTGCTCCAGGTCCTGACTAGCTTGGAGATTTACCAGGGTCGTGTTGTCCTTCTGGCCCCTTGGTGGCCAGCCCAGCCTTGGTTTCAGGCACTGCTTGCTCGGTGTCCGTACCCGAGGGTCTTCCCGTGGCTCCGCCTCTTTCAGCAGATCAGTCCTGCGCTGTACGAGGCTGGTTCCATCTTCTCCTCGAGTCTTCGTGTCTGGTGTTTTTGACTCGGGTTTATTATTCATTGTTTGGTGCGCAGGTGGCTTCGTTATTGGTCTCCCACCTGCGTGCTTCGTCTCAGCGGCAGTATGAGGTTTCCTGGTGGTCCTTCCGGTTTTTCCAATCACTGTGTCGGTGTTTTTCGGTCTCTGATAGGGTTGTTCTGTCCTTTCTCTCTTGGCTGTTTCAGGACCGTCATCTTATGCCGAATACGGTTGCTTCGTATCGTGCGGCGTTGGCGGAGCCGCTTCAGTTTGCTTTTGGGGTTGATGTTACTTCCGCCTCGTTTCGCAAGTTATCTCGGGCGTTGTTTCACCTCCGGCCTGCTCATGCGCCGCCTGAGCCGTCTTGGTCTTTGGACAGCGTGCTCTCGTTTCTTGTTTCTCTCTGCCCAGGTTTGTGGTGGCCCCTTCCGTTCGGGATTGTTTTTCCAAGGCTCTTTTCCTGTTGGCATTGGTCTCGGGGGGTCGGGTTGGCGAGCTTCATGCTCTCCGGCACCGGGGTTTCTGCTCTTTCGGTCCTGGTGGTCGTTTTGTTCGTTTGCAGCTGTCTCCCTGATGGCTGCGTTCCGGAGGGGGCCGTGGGTTGTTGATGCTTGGTTGGTCAGGCCGGGGGTGCATCATGTGTTGTGTCCGGTTGCGGCTCTCCGCCGTTATTTGCGCGCCACGGCTTCTGTTGCCGGGGATGCGCTCTGGGTTGATCCGGTCTCCCTTCTTCCCTGTTCCCGGGCTCGGGTCTCTCAGGTTGTCCGCAGGGTTATTAAGTGTAGTCAGCCTGCTGTTTTTCCCCGGGCCCACAACGTTCGTAAATTTGCTGCTTTGGCGGCTGTCTTTGGCAACATGTCTTGGGTGGACATTCGGGCCTGGGGTTTTGGAGATCGAACAGGGTCCTGGCCGCTCACTACCTGGTGAATGTTCCTGGGCCTCGTCAGGCCTGCGTTGCTTTGGGTCGGCAGTTGCAGCCAGTTGTCTCGTCTTCGTGTTGAGGAGTGAGGACGGCCCGCCGCCCGGGTAAGTCCCTGTTTTTTCCTTATCTTTGGGTAGTTAGCTCCGGGGAGCCGACGGGGCTCCCCCCAGAAAACCAGCATTGAATGTAATGAAACGCCATTTTCTGGGTGAGTCCCGGAGGTTCCCCGGCATTCCTCCCTCCCTCCAGTCGGCGGTGTTTTTCGCGTTTTTGGTTTTTAGTTTTGGTTTGTCAAAAACCACATCTTGGTTTTTGACATCCAGCCTAAGAACTAATGGTTGGGTCGCCGACGGTGAGGTCTGGGGCTCCCCCCTTCCCCCTCCCTGGGAGGGGGGGGAGGGTTGCGCAGATGGTGGCGCGGCGACATGATGACGTCATGAGGGCTAATTTTCGTTTGGGGAGTTCTGTCCACCTGTTCGGTCTTCGGTCGCAATAGTTTACCAGAATAGGGGTTTATTTTGGGGTGCCTACCTTTCTGGGTGCCAGTCCCGGTCGATGGCAGACATAGAATGCTCCCAATCATTCGGGGGGGTCTCTATAGGCCATTGCTCCTCGTGCCTCTCTGAGGGGGCCAGGTTCTGGCTCGTGGTCCCCGGTAGGCAAGAACTCCATGCATTGACTGATGCCAGAAAGTTATACATATCCATTCAGCCTGGATAGCTCCGGGGAGCCTCCGGGACTTACCCAGAAAATGGCGTTTCATTACATTCAACGCTGGTTTTTTGACTAGTTGTATATAAAATTTGGTTCAACTGGCCCAACTCTCAGCATTGTAGCATAAACAGGAAGAAAGAAAAAAAAATATTGAATTATGTGTCAACATTTTTCCAAAATGATCAAAAATTAACAACAAACAAATGTGTTAACTGAAATCATGTCTATGACTCTCAGCTATCACAATAGAATATAATTAAGTATTTTAATATTCAGTTTTATGCAAAAAAAAAAAAAAAAAAAAAAATTCTGTGGGGAGCCCCTACGGCTCCCTGGAGCTTATCGAGCTAATGTATGTTATATTAGACCGGGACATTAGCAAAGGAGTTCAGACCTACCAGGGACCAGCGCCAAAACCTGGCCCCTTCAGAGAGGTTTCAGGAAGCAATGGCACTGGAAAACCCTCTTTTGGTTGGGGTTTTTCTTATCTGCCATCGACCAGGGTCAGGCACCCAGAAAGGTAGACATGACAGAACAAACCCCACATGGTAAAAAACTAAAACAAAAAACCGAACAGAGAGGTAAAAACTCCCTACAATCCCAAGCAAACAAGCAAACATCACACTTTACTGCTGCACCGATCGTCCGCGCAGCCCTCCCCACCCCGAGAAGGGAATGGGGGAGCACCAGACCTACCGCACCGGTGCGGTAGGACCTTAACTATCCTTGGAATGTTTTGTTTTGCACTGGCCATTGAATTGTATTTTTGTTCCACTCACCTTCCATGTGCCTTAAATTTAAATTTTTATTGGCATTTAGGATGGATGTGCCTTCATTATTCTTTCTTCAGGTATCTTTGGCATTCTTTCCACTCCAGTTGGTTCACACTCCTCCAGAACCTACTTGGTCATTGAATCGGGTCTTGGCATTTTTGTCTCTCCACTTTTGGGTTTCTCCTTCTAACAAGGATTCTTTTTTCAGGGGCACCTTTTTCTTGACTCTTGGTTCAGTCTGTTGAAATAGTAAGGTTCACACTTTGTTGGAAACATGGCTTTTTTCTTTAGACCAAGTAATAATTTTCTTCACTTTCAACTTCCTCCTTCATATTTGACTAAGTATGAGGCTTCTGCTTTCTGCAGGGATACTTTTGTTACTGAAACATGGTTTGTTTGGCTGGGGGTGCATCTTATTTGTACACGGTCCTATGGCTGCTCTCATTGTTTGGGTCAAGGGTTCATCATTGGGTTCATCAAGCCAGTATATTGTGTTCTTTGCTCCATAGTAAAGCTCTCCCAGGTTATCCAGAAGGTGGTTCAGCTTAGCCATGGTGTGCTGATGTTTGCTGCCTTGATAACCTTTTCTTCTGCCAGTAATTTGTTTTGTCAGTCATTTTGATTTTATTTTGGTTTTGGGGCTATCTGTGATTTCTAAAGTTGCCTTACCTCTGTTGCCCCTGTTACCTAGCAGGGGCATAGGTACCTGGGTGTTAGTCAGCTGTCATGGACTGCTTCCTGGGGGTGGAGGCCTGGTCGAGGACCGGGCCGCGGGGACACTAAAAAGCCCCGAAATCATCTCAAGATAACCTCAAGATAACCTCATAGTGTGAGCCAGGTTGAGGCTCTCAGTAGGTCAGTGCACTTTTCAATGCTTGACACTAGAGCACAAACTATAGGGGGCTACCAAGAGCCCACCAGAATAGGGGATTTCATTACATTCAGTACCTAATTTATATATTATTCTTGTGTCTAAATGTTGGCACAAATGTTTTCCGTCATTTGCTATAAGAAAAGTTCCCGAAATGTAAACAAAAATGCAAAATCTAAAAATTTAGCAGTCCCCATGGTGTAGTGGTAAGATGCTCGCCTGGCATTTCGCGAGCGCTTTGTCCTGTGTTTGTATCCTGGCCGGGTAGGATTGACTGAGCGCAGATCCTTAACTGTAGCCTCTGTTTAACCCAACAGTAAAATGGGTATCTGGTTGTTAAACGATTTGGTGGGGTCATATTCTGGGAAACATAAGATTAAAGACTTGCCCGAAATGCTACATGTGCTAGTGGCTGTACAAGACTGTAAGAACTCTAAGAATACATTTTCATAAAAAAAAAAAAAATACCTTGAAATCCAAACTTTCCCTTTTTCACAATATATCCTGAATGAATTTGTCCAGATTTTGAAGGATGCACTTTATGGTAAAGTACAGTAATATCTTTTTATTAATGGATTTTTTTTTTATATCTCAGATGATGGAACTACAGAGACAACTCCATTCGTTAAGCTAAAAGTTCCTGCTAAGAGCTGGGGGCACTTCAGCAGAACTAGTCCCAGAAAAGGTAATTAATGTATATAAATATCTGTATGAAATTTTATATGAAAACTGTTCTGTATGAAATAACTCAAACTATACTTAAAAAAAAAAAGATATTTTGCAGTGATAATAGATAACATTTCTAAACAAACTTTCCTCAGTAGCTACTTCAGTCTTACATACTGAACTCAAGAGAACAAACACTCCCCTTCCTTCCCAGGCTCTGACTTTTGCCACAGTATTGCGTGACTTTTCAAATAGTTTTACCCCCAGCATAAAGTGGGTCTAGAGCTCAGTGAAGGTCATAGCTCATCACACCAATGACACAGATGCTTTCAGTAACTCAGAGACCCATAAAATCACCCCAAAACATTCTCAAGCATATCTTGTAAACTAAAAAACCAACGTTAAATGTAATGAAGCGCCAGTTCATGGGTGAGCTCCAGAGGCTCCCTGAAGCTATCATACTGATCAAATGCCATACTACTTGAGTATCATCAGTAGCAGAGTTCTTCGTAAGCCTATCAGGGACCACGGGCCAGAACCTGGTCCCCCTCAGAGAGGCAAAGGGAGCAATGGCCATGACCACTTTACATATAACCCCTCAACTGTGCAACGCACCTGCAGGTCCTCGTCCTGGGTGCGCAATGCGCCTCCGGGTATTTTTATTTTTCATGTTCCATTCAAAACTGGCACGCGGTGAGGTGGGTACGAGATGGATGCTCATCCGCCATCTTGAAAAAAAATCCCAGCATGCCCCACGGCCATGGGGAGCCTCAGTTTCAAAGCAGCAACCATGTCTGACGCATTGTCTACGCGCACCCGCTCCACGGTGACCCAGGGTCATGGAAAACGACTCTCTGAGGAGGAGATACGCGACATTTTTGTATGATGAAAGTGCTATGGATGATGACCTAGACTATGATCCAGAGAAAGACCTTACACAGAGGTCTGATATGAGTGAGGGAGAGACTGAGGTCCATGATGTGGAGAGCATGTATGGTACACACGCCTTGCCCAGAACTGCCCTCCCACTCTGGGTCAACACCGTTATCACCACCTCCACCATGTATGTTCCCAGATGCAAGTTTATTCAGTGACAGTACTGTACATGCGATGAATCTTTCTCGGGCTTCAGTGACATAGGCTCCGATACGAGTAGTGTGGACAACCCGAGTACAAGCAGCGGGGGTGTTACCAGGCGGGGTTTTGCGGCCCCAGCAACACATCGCTGCAGGTGGCAACGTGTCTCACAACAACAGGACAATGACGACAGTGGCCCCTCAACATCAGATGTTCGTGGTAGGCCTATAGTTCGTAAATCTGCCTCATCGCCTAGCATACCCTCACACAGTTCCAGCACCAGACGACATAGCCATGTTTTTGATGCTCGTGATGGTGTTGGCCGTGGTATTGGCGCCAACACCAAACCCCCAGGTGTACTTGTGTGAGAGGATTGTGCCACATTTGTCCCTCAGATACCAACGTTTGATGATACTGATGTTGGTGTTACACCATTATTCCCATTTACCGGTGATGGTATGTCAGAAATGGAATATTTCCTGGCATATTTCGACCACGAATTCATGACGCATTTTGTGACTGAGACAAACAGGTATGCACACAGCCTCATAGATGCCGGCATTTTACCTGCCTCACGCCTCACGCAATGGAAGGACACGACAATTGACGAAATGTACGTGTTTCTGGCACTGAGCATGATGATGAAGCACTCCAAGAAAGCTGTCATCCAGGATTATTGGAGCAAAGACAGCTTAGTTCCATCGGCCGTGTTCAACTGGTATATGTCGAGTGATAGGTTTCTCTTGATTCTCAGGTGCATGCATATCGAGAATAATGCAAATGAGAACAAACACGACAGACTGTGGAAGGTACGGAAGGTGTTCAGTGACATGAGAGGGAAGTTCAAGGATTATTTTGTACCTGCACAGAATGTGGTTATTGATGAATCACTAGTACTGTTCAAGGGACGACTGGCATTCAAGCAGTACATCCCATCAAAATGGCACCGTTTTGGACTGAAGTTTTTCGTGCTGTGCGACTGTGTGACCGGTATTGTCTTGGACATAATATTGTATTATGGTACAGATGTCGACATACCAGCTCTGGATGAACACGGGTTCTCTGGCAGTGTCGTAAAAACCCTGATGGAACCGTTGCTGAACAAGGGGCATATACTGTTCACCGACAACTATTACACCAGCCCCTTGTTGACCAGATACCTCCTTGCCCACAACACCAGCGTATGTGGCACTGTGAAGGCCCACAGGAAGGAAATACCAATGTTCGGTATTGGTATAGCAGTGGGTGATTGCCAGCTGCGCAAGTATGACAACGTGCTGTCAGTGTGGTGGAAGGACAGATGCGAGGTGAATATGCTGACTACGATTCACACCAGTTCCATGTTGGACAGTGGCAAAGTCCACTTTCAGACGAGCTTCCCCATGTATAAACCCGGACTGTGTCATAGACTATAACGTGAACGTGCACCTCATCGATAAATGTGGCATGATACTAGGTGCAGTGGAGTGCGTATGCAAGTCTGTGAAGTGGACGAAAAAGTTCTTCTTCCACCTAATAGATGTTGCAGTGCTCAACTGCTTCAATATGTACCTGGTAAAATCTGGCAGGAGACTGTCAATACGTACATTCAGTGCCTGTGTTGTGTCACAGCTGCTAGTAAAGTATGGCAAGGAGGGATCCATTGTACCATGCGGGGTGCAAGCAACAATGCCACATGCAGCTCCAGACAGACTGAGGGGTAATGAGAACTTTGGAGTACACATGCTCAAGTATATGCCAGGCACAGCAATCATGGGAGAAGGGTAAACATGCGAGTATAGTATGCAGGAACATTACCCGCAGAGAACAAAAGCAAAGATGCATCACCACCTAGTGCGTGGAGTGCAAGGTGCCACTCTGCCCCGTTGGCTGTTTTGCAGCATGTCACACACTTGCGGAATACTGAGTGTGTTTATGGTGTGTGTATATTGTGTGTGATATTGTATAGTGTGTATATAGACTGTAAATATAAGTATATTAGCATGATACATTGGAAATATGTGCAGGATACGTAAACACTTTGGTGATGCACGTAACACAGTGTCTACGGACAGTACGAGTGTTCTACTGCCATAATATAGTGTACATGTTCATTATACATAGGATTGGCACATAAAAACAAATATATTGTATTTGGAACTGTGCGCAAAAAATGAACAAAAATATATTCGCGGTAGTACGCACGCATCCTGCCCCGGGCGCCCTACTGGCCCACAGGCCAGTAGTAGAGTGTACGCTACGGGCAAACGGGGAATGATGCGTCACGTGCCAACTTATGGACCCCATAGCAGCCGAAGTACAATTTCGATTTTCCGTTACTTTACCCATACTCAAGGAAGGGTTTTTGTCACTTTCAAAACAACAAATAATTTTTTTCAGAGAATTTCTTTCCTGCACACTGGGGGTGTCATATTTGGAAGCCGTGCAGTTGAGGGGTTAAAGAATGTCACCTTGCCATCGAAAGGGAAAGGACCCAAAAAGGTAGGCAAATCAAAACAGATCACTGTCTGGTTGAAAAATGGCAAGCTACATCCTCCCAAGAAAGAATTTCCCCAGAAAGCAAACAAACAAGAAAATCTTCGTCCAACTAACCTCCTGCTCGTTAGCTCCACCCCCAGCAGGGAGGGCGGAGCTGACTGCCACCATTCACTTCTTTGTCTGATGTAGTCGTGCCAAGTGGTCCCTGTCGCTCTGGTTTAGTGTTCCCGTTTTCTTTGGTATTTCTTCGCTGTGATGGTGTTATGAAATAGAAATGTGCGTGTTGCCAGTAGTTTAGAGTACTGGAGCAGTATGCGCCTTTGGTCCCCTTCCCTAGGTGCTCCGTAAATACTACCCTTATGTCTCAAGGTTATCTTCCCTAGTGCATTTTGGAAACACTCCCCATTAGAGGGCTTCGATCCTTACTTGTGGTTGTCCTCGCCATTGGGAGTGAGTCAGGGTACTTGGGCTTTCGCCCTTACCCTGGGTAGGGTGTTTTTGTTTGCTGGCGAGGTGCACTGAAACTAGCACAGCCAGCATTGCTATTACATGGCACCAGATGTTTATCTCTGGGTGGTTGTTTGCTTGTTGTGTGATTTCGTTTTTTTTTTTTTGTTATTTTGGCATGTTAGCCTGTTGTGGCAGTGGAGGTCTGCCTATTAGGCAGAGCCTAATAGGCAGCTCTGCTTCGTTTGCTTTCCTTCCTTCATCTGTTTCAGAGGGGCTCCCGGGTAACACAGCGGTTGGTCGAGGGTTTGTGCTGGAGCATGAACTTTGCCATGATGGTCTGCTCGCCTGGTCGGGTGTGGCTTCGTCGGCTATTCTGGTTTCTTTGGGGACATCCCTTCTGTTTCTGTCGCGACCGCTGGGTTTGGCCTCCAGGGGCCTTGCGTTGGTTGCTGCATCGCCAGGCTTCCTCTTCGGGTTGTTTGGGGTTCAATGCCTTGGCGCCTACCCAAGCCCTCGCTCGATGTGTTCACGGACGCGTCGTCTCTTGGGGCTTTTTGACCAGTGTTCACCAGACCTGGCCAGGGGGGGGGGGGGTTCCATTCCTCCGTTGAGTTCACAGCACGGTGTGGGAGTTCGTGGCTGTGTGGATGTTGCTATAGAGGATTCAGGTCTTTCGCGGATCGACGGTACAGCTCCATTTGGACTGTTCCCCGGTGGTCATTGCCTGAACTGCGGGGGGTTTAAAGCGGTCCTTGGCTCTTTGGGGCTGGTCGCTTCGGGTGACTCGTCTGCTGAGTTCTCGGCGTTTGGCTCTCCTGACGGTTCACGTTTGGAGGGTGTTAAATGTCCTGCCGGATGGCCCATCCTGGTTCATTCCCTGTTTACGAAATGGACGACCAACGCCAACTCGTTCCATTGCCTCTGCCAAACGTTTGGGCCTCCAGAAGTGGATCTCTTTGTGTCGGAGTGGTCAAGGCGTCTCCCAATATATGTGGCTCCCTTCCCCGACTGCAA